TTCGAAAAAATAACCAAAAAAATTCAAAAAAGATCGACTGCGCGTTGAGCTGGAAGAGCTCCGTCGACGAGATTCCATCCGGAGCGATGGTGAATCTAAGCGGAAGGAATCTGAGGAGATAGATCGGTTGAAGAAAGAACTGGACGACATGAGGGTGTTCCGTGAAGCTCTTGAGAGGAAGAACGAAGAAGTCAGTCTGTTGAAACGGGACAATCGTGTCCTTAAGAAGGACTTCCTGGAGCTCAAGGACGATGTTGGTAGTTTAAGGATGACGCAGAAGTGGAAATCCGAAGGCGTAACTTCTAGTAGTCCTCCGCATGAACCGGCTGCTACTAAACAGAAGCCGGATCCGAAGACGACGGCCATGTACACTCCAAAAGATATGGAGACGCTGCGGAAAACGTACAAGGCCGCTGTCGAAGGGAAGTACATGGCTGAATGGGAGGTTGTCGTGCTGAAGGAAAGGATATTGAGGGTGTGTGTTCATTCGGCTCCCAAGACTACTGCGCGCAGGTCCGTTGGAAGACGGACGACTCCTCGAAGCCTAAAGACTACGTTTGTCGCGGTTGAAGTTGAGGATGACTCAGCCAACGAGGATGATGCGGCCGATGCTTTGGGAGAACCCGATCCCGATAGCACCATGTTGGGACGTCTGCATGAGAAGGAGAAGAAGAAGCTTCGTTCTCTGAAAAAAACGGACATGGAGAAGATCTGTACGGAAGAAGGAATCTCGTACATTAAGCTGGAGCAAGCAAAATTGGATATTGCCAAAATACGGGCCGGACGTGAATTCCACCGCCAGCGTGGCAAAGGGCAGGCTGAGAATGAACCTAATCTCGGTGATGACGAAGAGGATCAGCCGCAGTATGCCACATCAGCTGAGGAGGTGCAAGACGAGTGAGGAGGCGCTCTGGGCGTAAGTCAACTCACTAACCTCGCTCTGCTCTGTCGGGACTTAAGGCCCAGTGGTAGAATTGACGGTAGTTTATATAACTTGGTAGATTATGTTTTTCGTTTAATTACTATTCTTTTAATTCTTTGTGGACGTATTCGGTGGGGTGATAAGTTCGTTGATTGTTTGCTCTTGTTACTTCGCTCTAAGTACGACTTATATTCCTATCCGGGTCCTATCGTGTATATTCTCCTTTCTCCTTGGTACAAGCACGTATATGTCGGTTGTTCTGAGAGGTCAGCAACCGTTCGATGGAAGGAACATGTTCGTGTGACGACCCTTCGAGGGGTGGTTGGTCGTAATCGGAGGCTGTATCGTTGGCTGAGATGTGTGGACCTTGGGAGCTATGTTGCGATTCCTATCTTTGCTGCCTCATCCAATGCCGATCTTCTTAAGTTTGGATCGTTTTTTATCCGATCTTTTTCTCCCTCCCTCAATTCTACCTTTCGGCGTACCTCCTCCACCGTTCAGCGAAAGCGTAGGTGTCGCCCCGGCCTGCGTGAGCGCCTCAAGGCTAAAGATGGATATGTGCGGGCTTCTCGTTCCGGTCTCATGCTTTTTGTCTTTACCACCTCTACTCGGGAAACGAGCCCCAGTCTTCTCCAGCTCCTCCATCAGGCTTCCTGCGCCAATCAATCTTCTCTTTCCATTACGTGTATCAGCGGTGATCGTTTTGTTGATAATTGGAAGTTGATTCGGCGCCTGTACGGGTCTTCTGCGGTCTCTTCCCCTGCGATCTCTACTGGTATTCTTCGTCATTGCCGGAGTTGGTTTCGAGCGGGTGCTACTATTTCCTTCCTACGAATCTCCCTTTTCTGTTCACGTGCTCTCCCCCTTAAAAACACACTTATCAAACTTCTCAGTTTTCCCGCTTTTAGGAAAGATCTGTCTTCCTGGACCTCGTACCTCCTTGCGTTTGATATTGGCATATGCCTCATAGTCTCACTACCAGATTGGTTTTTCGTGTTGAATTTGATGAGCGTTTGTGCAAGGGGGAATTGAGGAATTTATGTCGCAAGATCATTCTCTCGCTTGACTTCCCATCCTCCTACTTAGACTTGCTGTGTAGGCGTTTTCGCTTAGTTTTCACCAAGAATAAGTCCATCGCTGACATTATCCATAATTATCGTAGATATTCCCAATTTAGTAGTTTTTCTTGTTCGTGTTCTGGATTTGGGGTTGCCTTTCCCCGGTTCAACGGGCATGTGCGTTTTCGAGCCAGTGAAGTTGACTTTCTTCCCTCTGAGTTTGTCAATTCATAGAACAATGTATCTCTTGGTTTCTACGATAATCGTTCTGGTCTCCGAAGGCAACTCCTTTCCCCTGTTTCTGAACTATGTGACGCTAAGGTTGGGCTTTCGAATAGAGATATTGATCAATGTTTTTCTGAGTGTCCAAGCCATGCTTCTTCGATTACTTTCCAGCAGGTTGTTAATGCTAAGAAGACCTTCGATGGGTTGGTTGTTTCTACTATTGACCATAATAATAGTGATTCCTTGTTTTGCTATTCAAAGTTGTATGAGGTAGGTTTACGTGGGTTTTTCTTAGACAACCCAGGCATGCAGACTGTTTCCGACTCGGAGGAGAAGGTGTTGGACAGTTGCAGGAAAGAATATTTGGATAGGAAATTGAATTCCCTTGCGACTTGGGTATCTAATGGCAAGTTGGGTAGAGCATACGTGCTGCCCAAACACAAGGATGTTGGAAGATGGAGACCCATTTGTCCCTCCTATACCGAGCCCACCAGACGTGCTTCGCAAGTCGTGTCTTCTTGTATCAACGAAGTTTTGAAGAGGTTGCCCACTACATCGCATTTCAATTTACGTAGTACAGATTCTTTGATTCCTTTTTTAGATAGACTTAGTAAAGACATTATGCAAGATGATGGCCTGGTCTTTGCCTCCTTTGACGTCAAGGAGATGTTCTGCCAGCTGCCACACTCTTCTATTCTTTCGGCGGTGGAATGGGTGTTGAGTGTTTTTTAGGAAAAGGGTTTTTTTAAGTCTTTGGTGCAAATGCGGAGTAAGTCTGTTCGTATGTGCAAGGTTGCAGCTTGTGAAACAGGATGGAAGTCTGTTAAACTTTCGACTCTGGTTAAATTTGTGGACAATGACCTTCGACACACCTTTACTGTTTCTATGGGTTCTGTGGTTAGGCAGTTGCTTGGGATCCCGATGGGTAAGTCATCGAGCCCCTCGCTTGCATGTTTGATGTACGCACATAACGAGTACACCTTTTTAAAAAGTCTTGGGCGTGATGCTTCTCTCGTGTATGGTTGTCGACTCGTAGACGACGTCTCAATTTTTGTAAAGTACAGGAAGTCTAAGATAGGATCTCGGTGCAAAGCTTTGAAGACTCGGGAGGCCTTTGAGAGTGGGTGTTACGATGAGCATCTGACTTTGGAGAAGACTAGTACCAGTGCAGTTTGGCCGTATTTGGGTTATCGTGTTTTGGTAGGGCAGGAGCCACTGCGGGTCTAGTGTCAAGCACTGCATAAAAACCAGGATGGCATGGTGAATGGTGGGAAGATTGTGTTTCAAAATTTGCAGGACTTCAGTTCATATTGTGGAAAGTCTAAGAAAATGGCGGTGATCTCCTCCTTTCTGCATAGAGCAATGGCTATGGGAACCTTTCCTGCTGGCGAGGCACCCTTTCTGTGGTCTCTCAAGAAAGTGTTAATGCTACGGAACTTTCCGGACGAATATTTCGATCAAGCCCTGATTAATTTTAACCTGAAGATTAGAGGGGTCTGGGATAAGTGCATCTGTTGTTTTACTCAATGGGCCCTATGATTTTAAGGCCCCTGTTAGGAAGTACTATCTGGGCTTTCCTGGGTCCAGTTCTTGTCTTCCCTCTTCCCGTCTGGTACCGGTAGTCTGTCCGTAGGCTAGGGATAATTAGGCTTTTGACGTTTGAAGTAGGTATATAACGTTGCTACAGTTCTCATTCTATAAGTCTCATGATGCGCTTACCCCTTACGAGGACCGGTTGTGGCGAGCCGGTCGAAACACGTGTCGGGTACATTTCGCCACATGTGCTTCATGTTACAGCGCTTTGCGCCGTTTTTTTCGCCATTCAGGCTTGTGCTTTAATTGCCATATCTTCACGAGCCGAATTACGCTCGGGGGTTTATGCTATCATCTTGTTGTTGTCTATTCTCTCCCCTGCCTCGTCGTCTTTTGCAGTTCTTGCATAGATGTTATCGCTTTGTTTCCATAACTCCT